TTTTTTAAAGATCTGAAGCACAATGGTCTGATTTGCTTTACTGGGAGCCCAGAGGTGGATTTCTCCTCTTGATGGGCCACAGCCCACGGTCTGAAGTAGAAAAGCAGATGCCCAAGAGCATCTTCACAGCGAGGGTGAGCTGGTGGCTCTCCAAGTTGGCTGCGCCTGTTTTGCAACAGCCTGCTGAAGAAATTACAACTAGAAGTCATTTGAGGTGGTAAACCACAGATAGCCCAAGCTCCCGGTGATGATTTGGGATGAAAGCCCAGTTTGAAACCCTGGAATTGCCCCTGGGATGGCAATGAGGAGTGGTGATGGTCTCCAAGGAGCTGGAGAGGATAACCCAAAGCAAGAGAGAGCTAGCGCCATGCAGCATCTTTCCACATCCGCCCGAGGCCATGACTCCAGCCAGACCCTTACTTCCTATAACCACAAAATAATAATGCAAAAAACCCCAGACCTTGCTGGGATTTACAAGGTTTTGCATTGCTTTCCCCCCTTTCTCACTGAATTCCAAGAGTAAAGGCAACGAAGCAGCACACCGACACAGAGGGTTAGGAATTATTCTTCTTTTAATTTCACATGGTTTAAAATACGATATGAAATAAGGCTACAGTATATAAAAAACTCTCCAGCAAAATGATGTGCCAGCATCAGCAATTAAAACAAAACCAATCCCCTCCTTCTTTAAGGATTCAATGGAGGAGGGACTTCTTTTTGTATCCTTTAAAAAAACGAAACAGAACACAACACAACGCACGGACACACACACACGTCGCTACATCTCTAAGCTACCTCAGCTCAGTTTGTTTTAAAAAGCACCTGCTTTTTCCTTGTTTATCTATTTTTTTTTAATCTGGCTTTTAAACTTTTTTTTTCCACTTTTAAAAAATATAAATTATATGAAAATACAAGTTGGAAAATAGTTGAACAGCACAATATAACAATCTCTTTTTTCTTCTTCTTCTTCTATCAGCTTCAAAAGAAAATCCCATGTGTAAAAACAAAACTAAACCAAAAAGAAAACCACTTTTTTTTCTTTTTCTACTGAGGCAGATAATTCCTGGAGATATTCCATTATAACATATATGTATACATAGATTTATCATTTATTTAAACCTCTTTGGAATGTAGACAACAGCTCATGGATGTTATATAGACCCTACCAGAGAGCAGAGCACGCCAAGGCATCCCAATATTGCGACATTAACAAGGAACAAGCAACCAAAGCCCTAAAGCCTCTCAGAAAACCCCTCCAGAAAAGCAAATGTGAGAAGATGGACATGTTTCCCACAGCATCCAGATTTACTGATGCTTACTGGGACCATTCTTTTGGAGGAGGTTGGTTTGGAAAGATGTGAGAAGGTTCAGTCATACAGTATCTTCTATTTCTTGCCCTGCTTGGCTATTTTTCCCACCAAAAGCACCTGAGACATTCCAAAACAAGACATTACTGCCTAATTCCAAAAGCCATGTATATCTGCTGAGGGTGAAGCTTATCCTCATGCAGAGAAACCAGCACAGGAGTGAGCCGTGTCCCCAGCAGATCTCCATTGTCCCTCTCAAACCCATCTGGTCCAGCATGTGTGAGTGGATTGACCAACTCTTCACAGACTTGAGGAACAGGAGGTCAGAGAGTCTGGGTTCCAGCACATCTGGTTCAGCACACCCCTCGCCAAAAGCCAAAAAGCAGAAAGATACAAATAAAAACAGAAACAACAACAAATCTGCAAAGTTCCAGTGTATAAACAGCACACAGCCCTCTCTGGGATGGTCTCTAGAATGGGAATAAAAAGCAAAGGAAAATAGGAAATGATGAACCTGACATCCCTAGGACTGCACTGCCCTTTTCCTGCACACAGCCTGCGAGCTGGGATGGCAAACAGGAGGGAGAAACCATGGAGAAGCTCCAGCCAGTAGCTAGTCCCAAAAAACAGAGCTGCTTTCCACACTTAACCCTTTCTAACCTATAAACCAGCTGCCCCAAAATCCTGGGAGCACACAGGTGCAGCTTGGAAACCTGGAAAATATAAGCACAGTGGAGTGGATGAGGGATTTAGCCTGGCAGGAGAATGGGGATGGTACCCAAATCCCCATCTGAGGGAAGTTTTAACCCTGTTTTCTGCTTGGAAAAGGCACTTCAGCTGCAGCAAAGCAGCCAAGCAAGGCAGGAGACATGTCCTAGGATGCAGCATGGTGCCAAAGCCAGGAGACAGCCCTTTCAAAGGGTCTAGGGGGATTTTCCAAAGCACTGCCAGAAGTGGCCTGAGAAGGGTAAGCTAAGGGCACTGTGCAGCTGCGTGCAGGACAGCAACAGAACACCTATGAAACCCCATTTGATGGCTGAAAATCCAACTCATACGGTGTGTCCTGTTGGGATGCTCTTGTACTACTCCTCCCCTGCACACTTCCATGCCATCACATCAAGCCCTTTTCAGGCTTGGCTCTGTGGCAGAGCTCTGCTCAGGGCCTCATCCATGATACCTGTTTTCCTTCCTTCTCTCCAGCTTGGCCATGCTGCTTTCTCCCATCCTCTCTACCCAAGGAGATGAGTTGAAGTTTAATTTCCCAGTGGGCAGCATCCCTTTGCTCCTTTGTTGCATGTTCCTTTCACTTTTCCCTTCATGCCCTTTTCCTTCCTTTCCATCCTTCCCACCCTTTTCTTTCAATGTTCAGAAGGATGACCCCCAGACCCAGCCCCATGAGCTAAGAGCATAACTAACAACCTCCCTTAAACCACCACTTGCTTCCATCCCCCTGGGCTGGAGCTCCCTTGTGTCCCACTCATTTCCCCTCTACCATCACCTTCTTTATAGAGCATGCAGCAGTTTTAGAGATGACTTGCCCCAGAATGGCCAACTGGGATACAGAGGTGCCCCTGTGAGCATCTCCTTGGGATCAAGCTCCTCATCCAACCACTGGGCAAGAGGGTGACGTGCCCACGTACTTTGTCTCTTTTCAGGCAGGGTCCTTTCCTGCCAAGCTGATATATCAGCCTACATCTGGCAAGCATATCCCAACGAGCACCTCTGGGAAGCCTCTCCCCACCTCACCCCCAGCTTCCCTCTCACAGTGCCTCCAAGAATGAACACAACTCCCTAAAACACACAAACAGACAGACAACACATAAGGAAGGTACTTTTTGGTTCAAACGCTTAATACTGTCTTTAAAAAGAAAATGCCCAGTGGCTTCAAGGGAGAAAGACCCTGTTTGTCAGCTGGATCCGCACGGATTCAGCTCCAGGGTTATATTTAGATGTGGAAACACTCACTGCCCGATCCTCTTAACTCACACCTAGCCCATGGTGACAGTGGTCAGCAGCATCCCAGGAAGTGCTTGGTACAGCTCCTCCTCAGACACACAGGAGACCTCTCATCATTTACCCTAATGACATTAGTTGTACACTTCATGTTAATCACACCCTGCCAGGGGCTGCAGGATCAGGCTTCCAAAGAGCAGTTAAGAACCTATTTGCAAGGACAGTTTCCTTTCTGTGTGTGCCAGGCTGGTTAAGACATGGAATCACAGAATCCCAGAGTGGTTTGGGTTGGAAAAGACCTTAAAGCCCATCCAGTTCCAACCCCCTGCCACAGGCAGGGGCACACTTGCTCTAAGACCCTGTGTCCAACCTGGCCTTGAACATTGCCAGGGATGGGGCAGCCACAGCTTTTCCGGGCAACCCGTGCCAGTGTCACATACAGCAATAAAGATAAGAGCTGGTTGAAACAGGAAGGAAAACTTTGGTTTTTCAACTTTTTCCTGATTTTTATGCCCCCAATCAACTAATATATTTTCCACTTACCACATTGAAAACAAGGGAATTTTTCCCCTTTACCCTCCAAAAAAGAATGAACCAAATTTTCTGAAAACACCAAAGGGTCCCTTGAGCAAAAGAAGTGATTTGGAAAACACAAAATAAGACATTTTCCCTGCAAATCTGGCTAGGTTTCATGCCCAAAACACAGCCATACAAAAGGGCCCCTTTTAGAAAAACAATTCCAAAAGTGGGAATTTCAACCAGCTTTATCAGCAAGTGGCGGAGCAAAGCATGTGGGGCTGGAGGTGAGAGCAGCACATCCAGCAGGCATCACTAGGAGCCAGTTTGGAGTTCATTTTCCTTCACATACGATGCGGAGATGCCGGGTCGTAGCGTTCCACTCCTCCAGTGGGGTCTACATAAACTCCTATTTTCATCTTTAACCTCTTCCTCACTGTGATAAAACTCTCTGCTGGCATAACAGAAACAAACACACACAATATTGCAATACTGAGACCATCTTAGAGCTTAAGACTATTTAGAAAAAAAAAATACTGGCACAAAATTTAATAAAATAAAACTTTTAACAGATTTCTTAAAAAAAAAAAAAAATTAAAAAAAGAGAGTCTTGATCCCTCCTAGCAAAAATTCTGTCCTTTGTTGAAAAGCAGACGACCAACAGAAAAGTGATGGCCAAGAACAACAAAGAGTTCTTGGGGTTTTCCCATATTGCCCCTCCCCGAAGCAGGAATATTCGCCCACTTTGGTTTTCCCTCCCCACCCTCAAAAACAGATTCAAATCCTCAGGAATACTGTCATATTTCCTGAACTGCTTGTGTGTGAATAACACAAAATCCAAAGGGATCCATTTGATAATGTTTTTTTCTAAACAGCAAGGGATGGGGAGGGGTTTGTTTTTTTTTTTTAAGTGAGCTACATTTTTCTGGCTTTCTTAAAACTCAGAATTTCACCCCCCAAAAAGCCTGTCTTGGAGCTTTCAGGGAAAGAAAAAGCTCATCCTTCTCTGAACTGAACACAGTTTGCCTCTTCCGCCTCCCTCTCTCCCAACATCCTCAAAGCATCAAATCTGAGTCGCTCTTGAAAAACAACAAAAAGGAATTAACAAATGACCAAAATAACAGCAAAACTGGGGGGGGAAAAAAAAAAAAAAGAACCAAAAGAAAAAGTCCCATCGACTCTTCAAAATGACACGGGGTGACCCTCCACCCCGGCCAGCCACCTTCACTCGTCAGCATCTGGCTTGACGTCCAGCATGGCGTGGAGCTCCTCGGGCGTGTAGCCCAGCAGGCTCTGCAGGTCGCAGACGAAGCGGTAGACGTAGCGTTTCCCAGCTGTCTTGTGGATGATGTTCTTGTCGTAGTAGTAGCGCAAGCCACGGCTCAGCTTCTCGTAGTTCATCTTGGGCTTGTTTTTCCTCTTGCCCCATCGCCTGGCCACCTGGGAGAGGGGAAAGGAGAGTCAACGAGGGATGCGCATCGCAGGGACCGGACACGAGGGAAGGGAGAGGAGTTTCCTCATCTTTAAGATGGACATGGATGGGTCACAGGCATTAAGGTTTGGGGAAACCAACCTCCATGCAACGGTAGAACACTGCAGAGGACTCTATGAGGATGTGTAAGTCATCCTGGATCACAGAACCATAGAATAGTGTGGGTTGGAAGGGACCTTTAAAGCCCATCTAGTCCAATCTGCCTGCAATGAGCAGGGACATCTTCATCTAGATCAAGTTGCCCAGAATCACATCCAGCCTTGAATGTCTCCAGGGATGGTGCATCTACCAACACTCCGGGCAATCTGTTACAGTATTTGCTCCCCAAAACCTGTAGGAAGTCCCCCCTCTCACCTGTATACATCCTACTTGAAAAACTTTGGCATTATGCCTCTTCTCTGCGATGTTTCAGCTACTTCCCACTGACTTTGGGCACAAATTATGGCTTCCCAGGTAATAGTGCAGCCCAGTTTCCAGCTGGGCTCTAATTCATTGTTTTCCCCTACACACACCTGGGACCTGAACAATGTGGCTGCCCAAATCTCAGCCCTGAAGGGAGGAAGGCAGGGTTATTCACAGCAATATTTCAAAGGAATTTGGGCTGTGCACTCAATTCCAGGGTACTCTACCTCATCTGGGTCAGAAAGTTTGAATTCCCAGCCATCACCCGTCCAGCTAATGAAGGACTGACAGGACTTGTCAGTGAGCAGTTCCAGCAGGAATTGCCACAGTTGGATGGGTCCACTGCCTAGGAAGACAAAAGAAACATGAGAAATTAATGCCAGCAAAAGCACAGCTCCTTCTATCCTAGAGGGGAGGAAAAAAAATCACATCCAAATTGTGCACACTGAAAAGAATAAAACCTTCTACTATAATAAAGAAAATAATCAGTGACCACAGAGCAAGATGTGGGCTGAGATGACAGCTTGAGAGTTAAATCCTGCAGGTAAAAGAGCTTCCCATTTGCAGTAAGAGCTGAATATTCATGCACTGGAATGCTTCACTTCGAGTTACATAAATAGGATTACTTTTCTGGCATCCGAACAGCGAGCAGTCATTGTCTTGGCACAAGAGCACCCCTGTTTCCTCCATGCCAAAAAGCTGCTGGCCATCGCATGAACTCCGGCAGACTCCTGCTTCCCGACCTTGACTCTTTCCTCTGTTGCTGTTCATCGAGATAAGGGGGGGGACACCCAGGTATGAAAATCATTTGGCCTCCTTCCAGGGCGTGTTGCTGCAGGAACGGGCTGTGCCGGCTCGCAGAGCTCAGTGCAGGGAAGGCAGGGGCTGGCTGGCTCTGCACATGGGTCTCACCAGCTCAGGACTGCTGCATCTCCCCATCATGGTCTTAACAAAGCCATAGCAAACCTCCATGTGGCTGCTGGTTCCCCTAATCCAGCTGGAGAGGCATGAGGCAGCCCGTAGCATCGCATGCCATGTAGGTTCAACCTCTCCTTACAACACCACAGTCCCATGGGTGCCAATTTTGGCCGACAGCACTGTGACACATCTAACCTGCAGTACCTAGTGCCTGCGGCTCCGCAGCTTGGTTTGGGCTGGATGAATGGTGTACATGGAGTGGTTTTGAAATCCTCATCCCTTCTCGTGTCCCAATCAAAGGTAGAGGAGAAGCCCTCAAGCCAAAATCTCTTTGATGAGCAACTTCCAAATGCAGCCGCACCCTAAGTACTGTGCTTAGCTCAGGGCAACATGTTTTGGGAGAGATGTTGCCATGTTTTAAACGCAGCTTAAAATACATCACTAATAACAAGAATGACAATAATAATAATAAACAGAACCAGGGGTTAGAGGAAATGATTTATCACAACAAGAATTGCACAGGCTGCATTAAGACAGCAGGCTGGGGTAAACCCGCCTGCTGACAGCAATGAGTACAGGCTTCAAGCAGGGAAGAAGAAGAATTATGTACTCAGACAAAGGGATGGAGAACAGCTTATTTCCAGGAATGACAATGAATGCTGCCGAGCTGCGGGATAACCCGCAGAGGGAAGAGAAGGCTGTTCCCCCTTTTCCATGAGGTTTAAAATGACTCAAAAGCAGACGAGCTGCTGGGGAGGAGGAAATGAGAGAGCTGGCTCTGGGACACGGGAATCCTGTGCCCCATCTAGCACTCCCCAAACTGTTTCCCTCCTGTTATTCCTAAGGAGCTGCTCCAGGGGGTTCCCTGCCAAGCCCTGGGGGTTATCACACAGCCATGGGCAGGACAAAGCAGGGAGCTCACACCATCTCTCTGCTTGTGAATGGGAAGATGTCACTCAGTGGGGAAAGGCTCCAGTCTGGCGTTGCTCTGGGCAGGAGCTTGCCAAGATGTTGACTTTGCAACCGCACTCTCCAGTAGGAATGGAGTTGGGTCATCCATGCCAAAACAGGGGAGGAAAGTCAGATGACGCCTTTGCCTCCCACCCAAAAGGGAAGAGCCAAAACCCTGGCCTGAAATGCCACAGCATCTCAAAACTCAGACCTATTTATAGCAGCAAGCTTTAAATACAGAGAAAACACTGGGAAAAAAGGTTCTTTCAGCAGACTGAGGTCCTCCATGGGGAACTGCAGGTGAATTCCCAAGGGGCCTGTTTCTCTCAAGCCCATCTGACTTTACAGCACATGCAGAGAGCATCCAACACCCAAAGCAGGTTAACAGAGAAACAGTCCAAGGGGACAAGATTGAAGCAAGTTCATCACCTCGCACTGATTTCTCTCCTGCCCAACCAAACAAGGATTATTCATAGACTCACAGAATAGTTGGTTTGGGTTGGAAGGGTCCTTACAGCTCATCCAGTTCCAACCCCCTGCCACGGGCTGGGACACCTTCCACTAGAGCAGGTTGCTCCAAGCCCCTGTGTCCAACCTGGCCTTGAGCACTGCCAGGGATGGGGCAGCCACAGCTTCTCTGGGCATCTAATTCCCAGAATAAGATGGATGAAAACCCACCACCCTGGCGCTAGGTTCTTTCTGTTCCATCCTGTCTCTGTGGGACCCTTTCAAGGTTCAAGTGTCATTAACCCAGCTCATGCTAGGTATGGAGAGGAGTCGGGAAACCCAGGAATTTCTTGCCCTCTCTCCAGCAATCAATGCAGGGATCTTGCTACTGCTCTGCTGGGTATTTCGGGACTCTGAAGGAAGCGGTGTCATCCCTGCAACAGGGATTCCCAAGGTCTATTCCAAGCTGTCTGTGGGACACCGTAAAACCCCAAATTCCTCTGTGTTGGACAAGCAATTATGTCAAGAATGTGTTTACTGCAGGGCTCGCAGGCATGTCTGAGCTCCTATAAACACACGCCCTGCTGGAAGGGAAGGCAGCAGAGGCCCTGCAGATGTGCCACTGCTGCTGAGTCGGAGACGTCAGCAAGGCAAGCAATGCTGAGGTGGCAGGAACCAAACCTGGGCACATGCCCCAGCCTGCATGGCCAAAAACTGTTCTGGGGAGGGAGACCAGAGGGTAGGAAAGCAAAATGGTCAGTGAAGGGGTGCTGGAGGTCCGTCCATCATCTGGTGGACCTGTACTGCTGTAATTAGTACTGGGAGGGCTGTCTTCAGAGCTGATACCTCACCAGGTATTGACAGGACAAGGGGGAATGGCTTTAAGCTCAAAATTGGTAGATTTAGGTTAGATAATAGGAAGAAGCTCTTCACTGCGAGGGTGGTGCACAGGGAGCACAGGGTGCCCGAAGAAGCAGTGGCTGCCCTATCCCTGACAGTGTTCAAAGCCAGGTTGGACGGGGCTTCAAGCATGGTTTGGAATTAGATAATCTTTAAGGTCCCTTCCAACCCAAACCATTCTATGAGCTGCTTCTGCAGACCAGCAAGGACCAGGGAGCTATTTTTCCCAATGCTTAAAAGGATTTAAAGGTGAACCTTAGTTCATGCAGTGATGCCACCCCCCCACCTCACATCCCCAAAGCTATCAGGCGAGCATGAAGCTGCTGGGCTTGTCTCCACGCCCCAAACCTCCACCCCTGCCAGGGCTGGGAGCAGTGCCCATTTTCCATCCCTTCTGCTTCAACTCTTCCACTCACCCCTGCCTGGGGCTGGAAATCCCCACTGCGACGCCGGGATCAGATCACTTCATGGTACAGGCACGCACGGCCGTGCTGACTGCCCCGAGGCCGGCGGGTGTACCCCACCATGCGCCCTGTTCCCTTGGTTATCGCCAAAAACAACCACTACTGGAGCATTCCCGCAGCCTTTTCTTTGGATGCAGCCCCAAGGATGAGGCGGAGGGACACAAGCCACCTTTGATGGTGCTGGTCCTCCTCTGCACACATCCAGGGGTTTCCAGAGGAAACCCAGCTCTGGCTGGGGAATGGGGGCAGCTCTGCTCCACAAAAGACAAGGCAAGAGCTCAGAGAGTGGTGGGATGTTCTCCCGCCCCACTGCGACCTCCAGCACCCACGAAGGCTGCTAAGAATAGTGCCTGCCGAGGCCACAATGGGGGCCCTGTCTGGCCTTGGTGGCACTGAACGGGGTCCTTCAGTGGGGAGTGTCACACCACAGGAATTCTCCCCACGTCAGGGGGAAAATATGCCTTGTAGCCGGATGACAGCCGGCTGCTGCAGTGGGAGCCGCTTGCTGAGCGCTGCCTCTTCAGCATCAGTCCTCCAGTGGCACCCCTGCATGTCCCCAGAGCAAAGGGTTTGGTGCCACACCATCCTCTGACATCCTCCCTTGGACCCCATCACCTTCCTACCCAGTGGCTCTGGAGGGGTTTGAAACAGCCACTTCCACTGGTGCAGTGATGGTGGTACTGATTGGGTTGGGTCAGACCGGTATCTGCACTCTACCAGGGAAGGCACAGCCCAAAACACGTCATCCCCACTCTCTCCTGAGACAGTTTCACACACCCACCCCTCTCAACGGCCTCTGTTCTGTTTTCCTTCTTTCAAACAAGAAAAGAAGTGAAAAAAACCCACCCCACTGACAAAAAAAAGCGGCGCACCTATCCTTTGCACTCTGTGGTTTGTGGTTCCAACCCAACAAAACAACTGGGCACAGCAACGTCTCCAAAACAGCCTTCACCTCACACGTGTGCCTGCCCTGCCCGAGCCCCCTTCGATGGCACTGTGGCACCAGAGGTCCCCAATTTCTCCCAATGTGTTGGGGGGCAGCAAAGCTCGTCCCCATCGCTCCCTTGTTAGACCAAGCCCAACCACCTCCTCCCCAGCTCTCACCCAAGCTGTCCCAGGTAGTCACACCACCACGAAGTGCTGGCTTTGCATGGGTGGGAGGGCAAAGGTGGAGCTCAGAAGCATCTACAAAGAGCAGGTGTGAAGAAAGCAGAGAAGGACCCAGAAAGCTCCTGTATGTGGAGCCATATACTTTTGGCCATGTTTATAGACAGGAGTGCGGCCACAATGAGACAGTTCTGCTTTCCTGATGCATCTACTCTGTTTTGAGGAAGAACATGCTGGGATGCCAAGTTGGATGGGGCTTGGAGCAACCTGCTCTTGTGGAAAGTGTCCCTGCCCGTGGCAGGGGGGGGGGACACGTGGCAGGGGGTTGGAACTGGGTGAACTTTAAGGTCCCTTCCAACCCAAAACAAGCCACTCTAGTGAGAGCTGAGCTGCCGTCACACTTGGGCAGTGAAGCATGAGGCTCATTTCACTGTCATTTGCACATGTCTGGCAGGTGGAGCAGGAGCCACTGAACCAGCCCCAGCCCCAGCACTACCCTCAAGCTCCCCATCTCGCTGCTGAGCCATGCAGGCTCCACACCAGAGGTGCAGAAAACAGGCAACAGTTACTATAGCTGGTCACACTTGAAGTCACTCTGCAAGGGCAGGTACAGGGTATAACCCCAAAGAAGCAAGCCAACAACATCCCTTCATCACACAGGGGACAGAAGTGCTGTTGTGCTGCTTGTTGCAGCTAGATGATCTTAAGGTCCTTTCCATCCCTAACTATTCTAGGATTCTATGATTCTGATTGCTAGGGCAACTGCCTGCATCTCCAAATTCCCCCAACCCAAGCTACAAGTGGCTATGGATGCCCATACAGGCACATTCTCCAGAAGCAGGGAGGAAGGATGCTGATGTTTCTAGGAAAGCTACTGCCCTGACTCTGGATGTCAATCAGAGGGAGGTTGAGAAGGCAGCTGCTGGTGGATTTCTGGATGCCAATGACCACAGCACATCCAGGGAGCTTGCTGGTGTAAGATTCAGGCCAGCAGCATAGGCAACAAGACGAGGGGAAGCAGCACACAAGCTCTCTTGAAAGAGACCCACTTTCTTTGGCACAGACTTGACTTTCTTGCAAAACAGCAGCTGCGTGCTTTCACTTCTGTGTCACAGATAAGCATCGCTCAGAAACGGAGGCTTGTCAGAGGCTTCAGGCTCTGCACCACAGACAATTCAAACAGGGCAGATGGGTTTAGCAGGCAAATTTGGGCCCTATCGACAAGGCACTGCGAATGCTGATAGCAAGGATCAGGGTGGGATCTGGCCTGGGCAAAACCCGTTTGGCAGACAGGCACTCAGGCAAGATAGGATCTGTGAGAGGTGGCTATTCCCTCCACCACTGTCTGTCTTCTTCAAGGGCAGCATGATAATGAAGATAGCATCAATCTGTCCCCAAGAGAGACACTTCGGTCATGTGTGATATTAGCTGGGCAGGGGGCATTAACTCTTTAGGTGCTGAGATCACCTGTAAAGGCATCAGCAACTTCCTAACTAGGTCTGTAAGAAAGGGCAGCATCACAAATGCAAAACCAGCCTTGCAGAAGAGAGATCAAGGTTTGGTGTGCACCCACTTCACCTTTCTCATCCCTCTTTCCTCCTTCTTCCTCTCAGACATGAAGGGAATGGCTCTGCTCTGCCTGTTCAGCTATATGGAGCAGCAGCTCGGCACATCACAGCTCTGGTGTTGTGGCAATGCAGACAGCACCGCAGGATGGAAAGCCCCGGCCGGCAGAGATGATGCTGAGGTCCTACATACCACATAGCAAACATATACCATGGCTATAAACCCACGCAGGTGCTTTGGGGCACTCAAGAGATACAATCAGACTGGTTTGGGTTGGAAGGGACCTTAAACCTCACCCAGTTCCGACCCCCTGCCATGGGCAGGGACACATTCCACTAGACCAGGTCCAACCAGGCCATCCACCAACATCAAACACTGCACTGCTGCATGAACAAGGAAACTTAAGCTGAGCTTAGCTAAGCCAACGTGAGGTTTGGCACATTTGCCTGCAGAGAAGATGCATCCTGACGCACTACTCGCCTAAATATAATGGATACATTTCCTAGGTCATGTCAAGAAAAATAAGATCTGGCTTAATGTAAGAGTCAATCTGGCCAAGCTTTGGAAGAGCCAGTTCCAAAACCAGAGGTGTCCAGCACTGGCCCTCCCTGTAGGTATGGGAACTAAATAAAGTTCACCAACTCCTGACCAATTACATTTCTCCTTCAGAAAAAAAAAAAAAGATAAGAAAATTGCATCAACCCCTCTCTGAGCAACCATGGCAACTTGTTAAATTAGGTCAAGATGTGGGGGCAGATAAGGGAGCTTTGAAAAGCTGCTCACGAGCTGCATGAAGAACACATCAAACGCAAACAGAGCTTCCGCCAAAATGCACCTTCTCACCAAAGCATGTGCCTCCTGGGGCAGATAGCATCAGATATCTGTGATAAAGCACTGTGCCACCTCCCTAGGCCACCAGCAAAACAGCCCCTTGGTAACAAAGCCTGAACTATATTGTCATGTTCTTAAAGTCAACCTGGAGATGAAGGATGTGATCTCCCAGGCTTCATTCTTCCAACCCTAAAAGGTGCACATCATGGCATGTCTGTTGGGTGCTCCACTGGCTGGTAACTGGTGCTGGACATCTACATCTGGACTGATGCTGGTGGCATCATCTGAGTGAGAAGTGAAAAGCAGGGTCCTGGCTGCTTTGGGACCCTGGGCTGGTAATCCCCTGCTCTGCTCGTTCGGAGGCTCCACCTCCCCAGCAGAGCTGCAGAGCCCAGACTGAAGTTCCTCTGCTCTAGCTGCTAGACAGCACTTCCTCCCCTGAGTAAACTAAAAGTAATGTAAAGCAAAGCAAATAAGGAAGGGCCTAGGAGTTCTGCTTTAGAGTCCCTCGCTCAGCTGGCCCAAGACAGATGTTCAGCACTTCTCAGTGGCCAGTCTGGATTTCTTACACCAATTTTTGCAGATCCACACTAGTTTTGAGTTCTGAGAGTGCCCAGTTCTCCTACAGTTTGTAATGCAACACGTTCTCACTTGTTCTCGCTGTGACCTGCTTTCACAGCAACCTGGCTTCACTTTGCACCCACGTTGGGCTCCCTCCGCACAGAAAACATGAGGTGCTGACAGGTCAGTAGGCTTTAAAAAGGGACAGAGGACACTGCCTGCAAAGATCATCTCTCCAAAGATTGTTCCCAATGGCAAACACAGGCTGTGAAGGTTTGAGGACTGAATTATTGCTTAGCAGCCCTCCAGCCCAAGGATTTCCAAATGAATGCTGCTTCTGGAAACCTCAGGTTTTCCTCTCTCCATTTAAAGCTTCTCAAGTGAAGCAACATAGAAGTAAAAATCAGGCACTCCCCCCTTACAGATCACACTAAAATGCCTGGGCCTAGGAATTATCTTCCCGGCTCAAATCGGGGTCTGAAATGAGGCAAAGGAAAATGTTACACAGCGCAAAGCATTTGAAAGCGTGCTCTGGCACTGCATTAACCGAAGTCTCCCCTTCCTGGCGGCACCATTCCAAGGACACTCTTTGGGGTGCTAATACTCCTTGGCAAAACAGAGGATCCAACCGCTGGCTTCAGCTCCTCTCTATGGAGGCGGCTCTTTTCCATGAACTACAAACTTGGAGGGAAACATCCAGCTTGGAAAATGAAGCTCTTTGTTTTGCCAAGTGCCTCCATGCCTCAGTTTCCCCAGCTGTTAAAGTGCGACCAACACTGGCTGCCCAGAACACTTCTATGGGGTGTAATGAAAGGTGTTATCAGGAGGAAACAGGAATAAAACTTGCTCACTGGTCTCTTTTCTTAGGAATATCAATTGCCGTGACATGGTGGAGGATGGTGTCCCAGGGCATGGCCCAGCCCAGAACCATTCAGGAATAGCAGAGCACACTTGTATTTTACACTGACTTAGTCGAAACAGGCTCATTCAGCAGGCAGAACTAAGAGCTTTCTTTCTAACTAAAGCTATAGCAACAAACCACTTCCTTTTTTACACATAGCTCCTAAAATTATCTCTCCACCTCTCCTCCCCTCCGCATCTCTCCCCACCTTACAGAAAACTACATATCAGCCCTAAGATGAGCTATGTGTAGGAGGAGATTTCAGGGACAGTCACACCTCAGGATCAGCTCTGAACCTGTTGATGATCTTTATCTGCACAAACTATTTCCACCAGCTGCTACCAGCTGGGGCAGGAGAGATCAGTATGTAGGAGGGAAAAGGGGAACTGGCAGGAGGCCGTCCTGCGGATCTTACTTATAGTACAGGGAAAAGACAAGGCACAGAAGGACTGGAAAGGATTATCTCCACTGGAGCTGGAAGCCCCATCCCAACAGGTTTTTCTTCATGGAGATGCCAGATTGCTTGGAGGGCTGTCATATAAAAAGACAAGAGTCTCCATGTCCTATCACCTCATCTCTCCCAGTGCAGGGAACAGAAAATCCTTGGGTCTGCTTTGGCAGCATCCCATCCCTGCCTTGCACCAAGGTAAAGAGCAAACCCAAGTGCTTCCTCCATGCTAGAAAGGGAGGAGGTCATTTCACATCGCACACAGCAATGCTGAAATGCAGCCACTCCTGCCCGAGATGCGAAACCACAAGCAAGTATTGCATAGATGTGTCAGATGGGGAAATGAGGGCTCTCTACTACCTTGTGTTCTCAGCAATAAAAACCAGACACCAGTTCCTAGCAGACCCAACCAGGAGGCATCCAGGCGTACACGACAACACATCAAATGCCCTGCACTCAGCCAGGTCATACAACCCCTATGAGGTCTGGAATGCCCACACTTGAAGGACATGCAGCCTTGGGGGTCTCTGTGCTCTCAGGTGTGCCCACATAGATTAGTTAAGGTTGGAAACAACCTTAAGATCATCTAGTTCCAACCCCCCTACCAAGGGCAGGAACGTCTCACTCTAGACCATGTTGTCCAAGGTTCTGTCCAACTTGGCCTTGAACACTGCCAGGGATGTAGCATTTATATGTGACCGACCCCAGAGACACCCCAAAACTCACTTACGCACAACCCAGAGATTCTGGAGGCTCTGCCCTCCGCCAATGGAGAGTCTCTACCCAAGATGCTCACCAAAGAGGCTGTTTCCTGAGGACCATGACCCTACCTGTGTAGCCAGCAAGGGCAGCAGCAGGAAAAGGCTTGTCCTTGTTCATATCGGCCCGATCTCGAACATAGTCCTTGAAGGTGCCTTTGGGCTTGTGGTTGGACAGGGTGGCGGGGTAGTCCTCCGAGTCGAAGCTGTCGTAGGAAGGGACACGCTGCAAGCTCTGGAAGGAGGACTGGCTGCTCCAGGACTGTGTCAGGCGGTCACAGCTGTCATAGCTCTCTATGCTCTCGAAGGAATCCTGCCCACCCAGTTTACCTGGAGAGAAGGAAGAG